CTAGGATCTCTAATTATAGGCTCAATATTCTATCGGAAACTCACCAAGGCCAGCTGACCTGGGTCTGAAAAAGCCTGGGATAAAACCGGACTCGCTGAACATAGAGGACAATGAGGACTACTGAGAACTCATGAACAATGGCAATGGGTTTTTGATCCTACTGCACAGTACTGGCTTTGGGGGAGCCTAGGCAGTTTGGATGCTCACCTTACTAGACCTGGATGGAGGTGGGTGGTCCTTGGACTTCCCACAGGGCAGGGAACCCTGATTGCTCTTTGAGCTGACGAGGGAGGGGGACTTGATTGGGGGAGGGGGAATGGGAGGCTGGGGGAGGGGGAATGGGAGGCGGTGGCAGGGAAGAGACAGAAATCTTAGAGAAAGAAAGAAAGAAAGAGAGAGAGAGAGAGAGAGAGAGAGAGAGATAGATATATCTGGGTGACAAGTCTGAGAAAACTCTCTTAAGTCAGCAGGAATGACCTGTGCACTTCCCCTTACCCCCACCAAAGCAAATAAACAGAATTCTCATTTTTTAACCATGTTTCTGCTGAAGGAGCCATGATGGGCCCTTGAAGGGACGTCACATATGAAAGAAGTGGACCCTGTCCGTCAGCAGGCTTCACAACAACACCAAGGTACACATTTTAGTCCTGACATGGCAGAACCCTTATCTTTGCTGCTGTAACTCTAGGGTTCTCTTCTGAGGCTGGCCCCCTCATCTTTACACAGCTAACGCTTTCCTTTTTGGATTGTTACTGTGGAGACTACATGAAGAAGAGCACTTTAAATGCTACAGAGATAGTCATGGGTGTTTTTTCTTTTTCTTTTCTTGTTGTCAAATAGTGTGATGGATGTTTCCAAGCCTTTCTAGTCAATGTCTTTCTCCACCAGCATCCTTGGCGGGATGCTTTGATATTAAAGAATCATCATAAGCACTTAATTCTGTGTTGGACTCACTGGCGGCTTAAAAAGAAATGGTTAAATAAAAGCTAAGCCACCTAGCGACTTTCAAAAACTATGACATCTACGAACAATACAAAAGAAGTCCTTGGAGCAACACCAGTTAGAGATCATGGAAATTGCATGGATTCCACCCTTTCTGTGGCAAATGCAAGGACAGCACTTATCACAACGTGGGCGACATTTTAAGTGTTCAATTAAATGCAATTATTAAAACACAGCCATCTTTAGCAAAACACGGAAACTAGCTAGACTAATATCTTACAAAAATTAACAGTGGATGTTTTTCTGTTATGAGATTAAACACAGATTAATTTCTAACGGACTGAACAATATGCTGAACCAAATCCATTAGCTCAGAGAAAAAGATTAAGCCGGGGGTGATAGTGCATACCTGTCATCTCAGAACGTGGAGGCAGAAGGATTAAAATGCCAGCAGTTTCCTTATCTTTATTTTGGCACAACAATAATAGTACCATACTGCTTCAGCTTCGTCTTTGGCTACATCCAAGGTCCTATCTCAGGAGAGTGAAAATGGGGGGGGGGACCCTGATTTGTGCTTGTGCCCCTGTTGTAAGAGGACCTGGCAAGAAGGGTCCACATCCAAGTCTTCGGCTATACATTTGCGCCTTTGTTTCTGAGAACGGAGGTGGCTTCACTCCACACGTGTTCGGCTCTCTGTGTGCCTGACACAGGAAACTCATCCAATTTCATGTGTTCATCATACCAAAGTCCTGAGACAGAAACTGGTTTGGTTGGGGAAAAGCAGGTAATGAAACACATCCTAAATGGTTTTCACAAATGTGAAGAAAACAAGAATGGCTTGGCCCCGTGACTTCTCATTCAGACGTGAGAACAGTCTCTTCTAACCTTCGTTCACCCTTCTGTGTGGAGGAGAGGCCTATCTTCTCTGCCTCCGGACATAGGCACCTGGAGCGCACTGGACTCAAGAGGCTACATTGCCACCGTGCCACAGTGTCTGAGACTCCGCTAAGCATCAAGATGTTCTTAGTGCTGCTGGCTTAATGGATCTCTTCTAAAAGTATGTATAAAACTTTTAAAATGTCCTCTTTTAGAAGGGCCAAGGAGGAGGAGAGGAAAAGAGAGGTCATTTTGTCTTTATAACTGTGTAGGCATAAAAATCCCCTTGAAAGGGTGGCTGGGAGCCTGGACCCTTACAGTTTCTCTTAAGTGCTTGTGCTATTTTAGCAAAACTAGAATCTAAATGGAGTTTACGGCTCCCTCTCTGGTTCAACCTCCCAGCTTCTTGGGCCACTGTCTGCTCCATTTCCCACACGCTTTCGAACTCAGTTTTCTAGTATTACTGAAAACTGTATAGACATCAGTTTAGATTACCATAAGGGACTCACCCAGATTAATGTAGAAGACAACTTTCCTAACTCATTTTCACTTCCTTTGCTTTACATAGAAGTCCTTCTACAAGAAAGAGTCACGCTGGGCTGACTCCCCATTCTCTGATGAGAGTATCTGGACCCATTTGTAGAATGGCATACTCAACCTTTCTGTATGGATGACGCAGACATATTCTTTCCCCCAAAATTGTCTTTAGTTCTGTAAGTGATAAATGGCAATACTCAGGGAAGGATCTCATGGGGTTGTAAGTATGTTTCCTACAGAATGTTTCTTCAATAAAGTAGGACTCTGTTGTCTTCTAAACAAACGATGACCCAGCCAACTCATCCGTCTTCCAGGCCCCAACCCAAAGTTAACTGATGGCTTTTCTTACAGGCAATGAAGTGCAAAGATCCACTAAGCCCACCTATGTCAGGTATCAGTTTTTCCTCTCGCCTCCCAAAGCATCCTTCAATAAACGCCCTTTGATAAATGACGCTGTTCTTAGCATTTCTCCTCTGCAACAGAAACATGTGAATCTTCTGTGACAACAGGCACAGCAGGCTATTACAGGATAGAAGAGGAAGAATTTTGTTTTTTAAACCTTGCAGCCTAGGCAAGACAGGGAGAACCAGGGAAGGCAGTCTCGGTCACAAGCCCAGAACAAGCCCTGCAAACACGCAACTTTCACCTTAGAAATCTTTCTAAAATTTTATAGCCAACTTTTCTATCCACTTCACCACTGGAAGAGGTGGCCTCTGTGAAGCGAACAGCAAACTAATATTGTATTAGTTTTTCATGATGTAAAAGTTACAGGCAGGGCCCACCTGAGTTTTCTCTGCCCTGCTAATATGTTTTCTACCACTGCCTCAAATTTAGACAATCTACAAAGTGACTGACTAGAAGATTAAATTTTGGTCTGCTGTGTGTGCCAATTTTGCCAATATCGGTGTAAATAAATATAGTTGCGATGTTGAATCCAACGTCTCCAGAATCTGAATGCTTATCTTCCCTAACCAAAGCAGATTTCTCATTTCATGGGTCCAACATGGCTCACTGCTTGAAGAGTGGGGAAGGGGAGCAGATTGTAGATTTGTCCAAATGAATTGGTGAAACGTTGAAGTTATAGGCTTTCCTTTTCAAATTCTAGAGATGGGTAAGAAACAAATGGATGACGGAGAAAGTGAAAGGAAGATGGAGACAAGATGGAGCAAAGACAGGCAGAGGAGCAGGAGGAGGAAGAGGAAGGTGAGGAGGAGGAATAAAGAGGAGGAGGAACAGGAGGAAGGGGAGTAACTGGGAGGTGGAGGAGCAGGAGGATGAGCAGGAAGGGGATGAATAAGTACGAGACACAGCAGCAGGACGGGGAGGAGACTACTTTGTCATCAATAAATAGTGCCTTGACTAGGAGAGGGCACCAGTGAAGAATTTTACAGTAGCATCGCATTTTAGGCTTTCAAAACCTCATCAGATATGAATTTAGTCTCATTTTATAAAAAAAAATCACAAAGAGTAAAATAAAAAATTTAAAAAAAAAACAAAAAACAAAATGTTTGAAAAGTTTCTTTTCATCCTGTTCCAGGAAGGTGTTCGGAAGAGCAGGGTAGAATGGTAACCAGTCAGGCCTCCTCGCACAGAGATCTGATTCTCCTTTCTGCTTGTTGGAGAGTCCATTTTTACAGCCTACATGGTTAAACCTTCAACATTTCCTTCTGGAAACTCAGCCAGAAAAACTGTTCTGCTCAAGGGACAAAGACGACACACCTTTTCCTTCAGTTGTATGCAGAACTGGGTTACTGGAACTCTGATTCCCCAGCCTAAAAACAATATTCACCAAACCTGTCAAGAATTGAGATGGGTCTTTTAAAGATATTTCCACAACTGAGCAGTGGTGGCGCACGCCTTTAGTCCCAGCCCTCAGGAGTCAGAGACAGGTGGATCTCTGTGAATTTGAGGCCAGCCAGGTCTATAGAGCAAGTTCCAGGACGGCTTGGAGCTGTTAATACTGAGGAACCCTGTCTCAAAAAAATATTCCCACTTAATATTACAGATTCTTTAGTAGACAGACACCCCCATTTGCCTTTTTATATGCATTTTTAGTAGGTGGAAGGTCACTGGCAGGGCAGTTTCTAGGAGGGTAGACAGGTAATTATTTCCATGAAGCATTCACAAGGGATACTCTCCCTTTAAGGGAAGTCTTCAAGGGGAAAGGATGGTGTTACAGGAGCAATAGACCTGTATGTTCACTTGGTTCTTATCCTAATGTTCCCCAGTAGTCTGCCTTCCCTATACCGCATGAGTTTCCTAGCATCATTGTCCACACCGTATGTAGAACTCAAACTACATATTAGACCTCAACTGGCCCTTTTCTTCCTCTTTCTTTCCATTTCACCTAGAATGAAATGACCAGCAGCCCGGTGTCATTACAGAAAGCATGCTTGTAATGGAGAGAGATCAGAGCTGGGTACCTAGGAAGCTATTCCAATAGTCCTTGAAAGCCAGGACACAGACCTGATCCCAGAATGAAAGTCTCAGCCCAGAAAGATCACAGTTGCAGTCAAACGTGTCCATTCAACCAAAAATCAATAAAGCCCAGAAGAGTTCTGTTAACAAACTTATCTCCCCTTCTGTCCCAGTGATATCAAGAAACGTAGTTCCACTTTTTTTTTTTTCACATAGCATATACTCACTCTGTCAGGAGCCAGAAGCCTTGAACTGTCTCTCCAGAAGTTTGTGTAATGTGTTTCCTCAGGTCTTCCACCGCAGTCTCAATAGCCCCTGGCTGAGTGGGAGAAGAAAGCATTTCACTTAGAGAAGACTGAACACACTCTGCTTTCATTTAGTTAGAATGGCCAGCACCTTCTCCTCCTCCTCCTCCCCCTCCTCCTCCTCCTCCTCCTCCTCCTCCTCCTCCTCCTCCTCCCCTTCCTCCTCCTCTGGGAGACTAAGCCTGATTCTTGTACTTGCATATCCTGTTTCACTGTGTGGCACAGAACTTGGTCTTGGTCTTGAATACTGCGTTTTACTGCTAGCTATATAAAGTGGGCCAAAAGTGTTCCGAGTCTTATCTTCTCAAATCCTGTCCTATCACACTGAAATGAAAGCAGCCATTTTGAGAACACTTCTTCCAGAGAAATAAGTTTATCAGGAAGTTCAAAGCAGCTAACAATATATATACAAAAAAAAAAAAAAAAAAAAAAACCTTCCCAGATTCCAAGAGCACTTATTGGTAAAACACAAAACATAGCTCTCTGCCAATGCTCCAGCCATCAGTGTGGCTGACTCTGCAGCTCAACTCTCTCTCCTTTGTGTCTTAACTTCCACAAAACAAGTGTTCCCACATCTGGGTCTGGTTCTGGTTCTATAAGGAAACAGACTGACACCTATCCTAGTAAATTCATACTCTCCCTAGTCTAATGATTCTTTAACATCTGAAGACATCAGAAGCTTATTGAAACATTTCTAGGACTGCAGTTGGAGGTTTCTTTTCCACCCACCAATTTCCAAATAACCACTCAGAGCCTTAATATTAATTACAAATGCTTGGTCAATAGCTCAGGCTTACTACTAGCTAACTCTTACACCTAGATTAATCCATATTTCTTATCTATGTTTTGCCATGTGCCTCATGGCTTGTCATCTTATTTTCTACACATCCTGCTTTCTTGGCAACTGGCTGGTGTCTCCCTGACTCTGCCCTTCTTCATCCTGGTCTTCTCAGTTTGATTGTCTCACCTAATTTTATCCTGCCTTGCTATAGGTCAATCAGATTCTCCATTAATCAATGAAAGGAATACATATTCATGGTGTCCAGAGGGTTATTCCACAACATAGGACCATCCCCACTTTCATATCCAGCCAGCTTGAGTTGGGACTTGTATTTCTAACATATGTCCAGGTGACATTGTTGGTCTGGACATGGTACTTGTAACAACCAGTTGCTCTCTAAGCAATTATTCTCAGTGCTTGACTGTATACCAGAATCATCCCGGAGCCTAAAAAAATCCTAACCTGGGAAACATATTAGGCCATTTATCTCAGGAACTTGGTAGATAGATACATATGAACATCAGGAACTTGTAAGAATGCGTACTATCTTATGGGAGAATGGAAATAAGGAAAGGGTACTGGTGCTTCATCTATGAGCAGTGCAGAATCTGAGCTAGCTAGTTATTTTATCCGCACACCAGCTCCTTGTTTTCTTCTGTACAGCCCAAGTCACCCACAAAAGGATGCTATAATACCTGAAGTGAAATGAATGACAGGATTTGTCCCAAATCAGTTCTACAACGTAAGCTTACTACTTGGCTTTTTGGCTGCTGAACTGAACAAAACCTCGGAGCCACGCTGGAGACCATAAGCTCTATGGATCTTCAAGAAAATGTGATCATAGCTTTTATAGCCAAAGATCCTGGCTCCATCATTATAGTGAGTTTCTTCTTGAGCTGGGCAGCCAGATACTAGACTGAAGGATTTTTCCTGGTGTGTCGTCTGCAGCTGGCTTAAGTCTGGCCAGGAAGCTAAGACTAGCACTTCCTGCTGGCTGAAGGCCATGTGTCATAAAATCAGGAACTTTTGGGGGTTCAGTAAAAATATTATGCCTACCACTGTTGCCTGAGATGTTTATACTGATGCCACTCATTTCCAGGGACCCTGCAGGTACTCAGGCTACCCTGGACTGTAGCCTCCTGCTAATTCTCCCTTTGCCCAACCTTACATTCCTCTGAGGCTCTCTGACTCTTCTGGGGCCCACTTTCAGAAGTCTTCCGAAACACAATGCTCTGTTTTGTGACTCAGCAGTGGTATTTTCTCATACGTTCTTTACATAATTTTAGCCTCACAAATATAACTCGGTTGTGAAACCAATACTTTTCAGAAAAAAAAAGTAAGTAGAATTAGAGAGTAATTAAATAACCCTAAAATAAGCATTTTGTTGAATGTTTTATGTCATACAATTCACCAAAAATATGTGAGATTAATATAATACTGTATGAACCTTTAAAACCTTACTATCTTCCATACCCAAAGCAATTTCCAAATCCATAAAAACGAAGCATGATCTGTATTTGATCCAGGTATATCTCGGTGAAGTTATACTTTAGAAATTCTTGCATGTGTTCAAAACGGCATGGGTGAAGAACTCTTTGCAACCCTGTTTGCAGACAGCAATAAATGAGGAGCAACATGTGAACGCTGATCAAGAGGGTATTATAGAATATGTTCAGATAATAGAGTATAGTGAAGGTATAGAAGTAACAAAGTATATCGATAAAAGAAAAAGTAAAACAGGAGAGGGTAAGGTAGGCTGCCTTCCTTATGCAGAAATATGTGGAATAAGTACATTCCTGTTGGCTGACACACAGCTAAAGTAAGCATAAAGATGTCTAGAAAACATATCAATGACGGTTTCCTTAGGATGGGAAAACAGGAGATGGAAATTGACCATGGAAGTGATGCTTTCCTGTATACCTTTTCAAAAGCTAAACCCTCAAGTGTGTTATCTATGGAAAGCTGTGATGCTCTCTACAGCTCTGTCACTGTCTGCACTATTCTTTGTTCTCAGTGTGAACATTGCTCAGGCCCCTTCTCTAGACTATAGAACAAAATGTAACCCGACACAGAAATGTGCTCCCTTTACCTTTATTATTGCTAATTAACAATTTTTACTTAATAAATTTAAATCTAATAATTTAGGATAAGAAATTTAAGAATATATAGGCACTTTGTGTCTTGGATATCATGGTTTGGTCTCAGTTATCCTTATGGCTCTCTAGAATCCATGGTAAGTTATCATGGTGTTCTTCATCAGTTTCTGAATTTGGTAGATTGTTGTGATAATGATTACTGTAACTGAACTACTGGGAGATCCCATAGGACCCTGTAACTTAAATAGCAACAAACACTACGTAATGAAAGCCTTGACCATTATTCTCATTATTGCTTATGATAAAGAAAAGAGAAAAGCTATACCAAGATTCAAGGATCAAATGCTTAATGCAAGTAAGCACATAGCTCTGAGACTGCAGTCTAAGACAAATAGGAAACTATGATCAAATATACCACCTTTCACAACTCTACTGTGATGGAGGTGGGTCATTTGTCTATCTGTTGCTTCCATTGGTTAATTACTGAAGAAAACTGCTTGGCCTGATAGGGCAGAATTTAGATAGGCGGAGTAGACCGAACAGAATGCTGGGAAGAAGGGAAGTGAGCGGTTACCATAGCTCTCCTCGCCAAGATGGACGCAGGTTAGGATCCTTTCTGGTGGGCCACCACCTCGTGGTGCTACACAGATTGTTTGAGGTGGGTTAATCAAGATGTGAGAGTTGGCCAGTGAGAGGCTAGAACTAATGTGCCAAGCAGTGTTTAAAAGAATACAGTTTCTATGTAATTATTTCGGGTATAAAGCTAGCCGGGTGGCAAGACACAGCCCGCCGCTCCTCACAACACTACTGTCTCTTACATTCTAGACTTGCGTAGTTACAGGCAAAGCAAACCTTCTTACAGAATTGCAAAGACTTACGTATCTGCATTTCCATGATCTAGGCTAGCCCAGGGCCAATGCTAACCCAAACAATACCCATGACTTTGTCAGTGTTTTCATATACTAAGCTCCTTGTGTGCAGAAAGAAGAAGCAGTGGTTCAGAAAAAAACAGATCTTAAAGACTCTATCTCTCACATTTCTGTTGTGACTCCTATGATGGTTAGACAGAGGCCATTTTGCAACAAACACTTAAGTAAGAACATTAGGTAGATTGGCCCTGATCTGTAAAGGAAAAGAGTGTTTGTATTTTTTTGAAAAAAAAAATGAGAATTCACCTTGTCACATCATTGCTGGGGTTCTGCTCTCACAAAAGAACAAATCATCTTTAGGACTCTCCTCAAGGAGTTTCACACAATGAGCTAAACAACCTCTTGCCCAGTGACCTGTTTATTTTCTAAACTAAATGGAAGTTCACACAGGAAATAAGAATAAAACTAATAAATGTATTTGTTCCCAATGTGAGGGCAAGTCACCAGGAACCCTCTAGCAAGAGGAGAGGGAAAGAGAGAGAGAGTATGAAAGCCAAATTAGTGTCATGGAAGCAATGGCATCTCACTACACAATGGGAAGTCCTGAACCTGCTTATTAAAGTCTCGCTGCTCACAATAGAACACAGGCTATAAAAAGGCCATGGGGAACCATTAATTAAATATTAAAAGATCAAATAGTTTTAGTCCCATTAGTTTGTATGTAATTTACATTCTCTAGTATAAATTTAGAGATAATTCTCCATCTCGAATCGCTTTCAACTTTCTGATAAGGTATCTGCAAATACAGAGCCCCACAGGGAGTTTAAAAATATCTTTCTCCATGTGGGCTAAGCATTGTTCTTTTCATAAAAAGTTGCTTTTGAACATCAGTCTCCACAACCAAGATGATTATCATAATATACCTCAAGTTATTAGCTTTGAGGGATACTTTTGTTCGGAGAAGGCATGAGGCCTATTTTAGATATATCTAAACAGTAATAGCAGACACATTACAACAAGAGAAAAGGAATGCAAATGGACTGAGAGCAAGGGTTTTAGACTTTCACTTCTGGGACCTCTCTCATGTCCTAAGTCACATGTAGTCCAGAGACAGTGTCAGGAGTCCTGCATTGTGCGTATGGTCCCCAGTCATGGCATGATCCTCAGGATGCCGGTTGACCTTGGACAAGAAATAATTCCTTCAGGTACTTTAGGAGTTCTCTTAAATGAAGCCATAGAGGCATAATTTTCACATATAATAATAATGACCAGCAAACTGCAGTAGTGTTTTAAGAGGTTAATAACTTATTTTATGATCTAGTACTTAGGTGTATGGTATAACGTCTGATATTACTATGCTAAAGTGAACACTTATTTGTCAAGAATTTCTATTTCCATGCCATTCATTTTTTTGCAAATCCCTCTTAAAACTTATAGATTTGATCATTCTCCTCCTTATATCCTTGCAAATCAGTTCCCAGCACCCGACAAACAGAAAGCCAATAAATATCCTTCTTCCTTAGATCAATGATATGAATAGAAAATAGTCTAAATATCGAGTTTAAAATTAAACACATTGCAGTATATATTCCCAATATGGGATTCTATGGAACTGACTTTAAAAAATGATACCACAAAAATATTGTGACCATATGAAATATTTAGTATATAACTCTAATTGCACATAAAACATATATGAAAAGCAAAAAAGATCTACCCTAAAATGTATAAGATCACATACAATCGATTTTTTTATTTAGTATTGAACAGTGAGAGTACAGTGACTTTTATTTAGCCTATCTACATTTTCTAATCTTTTATCAACAAATTACTTCTTGGGTTATGATCCTAAAGTCCTTTAATAAAATACTTCAGCAACAATTTTTTTTTGACTCATTCATTCAGTGTTCTTCCCAGTTTCCCATGCATATACCTGACATTCTTAGCTCAGCAGAAGTTGATTTGACTGTGACTGTGGCAGAGAAGCCCGGAACTATATAGAGGTAGCCAGGAAAGTGGTTCTAGCCCTCAGTTTGCTGGTCAGTAGATGCTTGGGAAAGGAAAGTCTCCCTTCCGATTGTGCTGCTGGAAATGAGTAACTTGAGCAGCAAGAGTGCATCAGTACTGGCAGAAAGTTTATAGAAACGCGGAATCTAAATTGTTCACCAGCTGGACCGTGACATCTGAGATTTCACTTCAGATCCAGGAAGTCACCGCTTTCTGAGAACTCTCCCACATCTGAAACTTCAAGCCTCGTGGTCTTCCCTAACGATTCCTTGAGAAAGCCAGCCGTCCTCCTCTTTACTGCGACAGACCCTGTGTCAACATTTATACCTCAGCCCAGAGACTGTAACGAGGTCATAGGCACCCTGTTGTCATTTCTATAACCATTTATAGAATTGTGGATGCAAGTAAAAATGAGAGAGGAGGTACTGAAAATAACAATGTTTGAAATGTTTATAGATGTGTCATATACTCTATGAATATTGACAAAGTTAGTTCACTTAGGGCTCTTTACAGAGCTTGTATTTTATCTATACTTTTCAGGTAAAGAAATTGAGACTCAAACATATGTGCATGCACACGTGTGCATGTACACACACACACACACACTCACACTTCTGTCTTCTTAAAACATCTTTGGATTTGATTTGCAAGTTAGCAAAACTAGACCATTCTCTCATTTCTTTAAAAAAAAAAGTTTATTGGAATAATGTTTATCCCAGAATATAAAGGTAATCAGACAAAAATCCCTGTGCTATTTATGGGATATTTCCTACTGAAATTTTGGTTATGGATTTTCCAGAGACCCACAAATCAACAAAGGTCAACTCTTGGTCAACCACAAGAACTTAATGGTAAGACCCTGTTTACTGCTAAAAACATCACTTTGGTCATTTTACTTGGAGAAAGCAAGCTCATACTGACTTTGAAACATCTTCCTTGTTGGGTAGCTTTCAAAGAACTGGGAGGTACTTTGTAGATTAATAAAGGAGCAATCCAGCAACAGTCTTACGTAGCTGTGAACCCTGTGAGCTACAATAATGACTAGACTATGCAGTGGGGACAACAGTAGTTGGCTGTACAGTCAACAGCTTCTTAGCTGAATTTAAGACCTGCTTAACAGAAGGAAACTCATGTCTGTAAACATGGCTAAGAATTCATGGGCAGGGAGGCTAAAGACCCCACGAATCTTACTTTGTGAAAGGAATATAGTACCAAGCTATCTTCTAAATATTTATCTTTGTACTCAGAAAGTAGTACAACTCTCACCCCTCATTCAGACAGATTTTTTTTAAATGCAGTATATGGGAATCATCTAGGAAGAGCAGTGGACTCAGCATCTTATTGAAGTTCTTGAATTTAGGTGATTTCATTCACCTGAAACTTGTTCGCTCTTAAAAAAAATATTGATTTATTTTTATATTTCACACACGAGTCGTTTGCTTGCATGTGTGTGGACGTAGCATGCGAATGCCTGCTGCGTGTGGAAACCAGAGGAGGGCATGAAATTCCCCTGAAACTGGAGTTACAGACGGTTGTGAGCCACGATGTGGGTGCTGGGAACCAGACCTGATCTTCTGCAAGAGCAATAAGTGATTTTGACGACCAAGTCATCTCTGCAGCCTTCTATATGTTTATTCTTAAGACGAAGATGGTCTGTTTTCTCCTGCCTGCCTCACAGGGTTGTATAAAGACACATTTTTTTTTAAAGAAACTGTAAATATCTAATGACATTTATTACATATTCATACATATAGTATGGGTCTGTGTCTGCTCATCTAAATAAGAACTACATGATTTAGCTTTGCTTTCCCTGTTTGTTTCCAAATGGGAGTTAGCTGCAGAGACATCCATATTAATTTCGAAAGGCCGACCGACATGAAACCAGTTGTTTTATTTGCTGAAGATCAATTCAGATCACCATGCACTATAGCACGGTCAAGGAAATTACTGCCCTGACTCATTTGCTGGCAGGGGGCAGCATTAATACCAACATTTCCTTCCATTACAATTGACTTCCTCCCTAGGATTCTCCTATACGGGATGCCTTGGCAAAGGCACAGCTTCTAACCGTGACTTGCCATTAAGATTAGAGTTGGTGGCAGAGGTCAGTTTTTCCTCATGGGCTCTACTTTACCAAGAGATATTCCCTGTTCCTACTCTAACCCACCAACTGTTCTACTTATGCCAGCTTCAGGACTGCCATCACCAGCAAAGAAAGGAGCTTTGCATCGGTTTGCCGCCGGCTTTCATAACTGTGCCAGCTTCTGTCACTGGGCCCCCTATTCTGCACCACTGTTCTGTATTTTCTCAGAAAACCCTGCCATCATCCTTATCAAGATCCTAAAACTCCAAAGGATGCTTACATTTCCTTCGCAGTTCCATCTCAACTTAACTTTGCATATTCAATAAAGTTCACATATTTTGGAAAACAGACCATATGCTTGACATATGCAAAAACACTCACATAAACACAGATAACATAGCACCTACCAAAGTGCCTTGCACATAGGAGTCTACGTAATGTTTAAATACACACATATGGGTTCACACTCACACATTGAGTTGCTTTAGTTAGAACTTCATCTTAAACAAAGGTATATGTCGTTAAAGCCACCAAATCAGGATCTCCTAAGTTTTGTAAATAGTCTCAGATTCTTGACTTCCAATTACCTATGATATTGGACTGAAAAAATATATTTTGAAGGGTCAGAGAGATGGCCAATCAGATAAAAGTACTTTGTTACACAAATCAGAGAACCTGAGTGCGATCTCCAGAAACCACACAAAAATCTCAGCATTGGGGGGCACATGAGTAAGCCCAGCACTCCTGTTGGGAGGTGTGAGGTAGGGACAAGATAACTAGCCAGAAGCCTTAAAGCTTGCTAACCTGGGGTAGGCACCAGAGTAGAGGCAAACTCCACACGAAAGAACTTGTCTCAAAGTAGAAGAGCAGAACCAACTTCCAAAAGTTGTCCTCTGTCCTGTATACAACACTGCTACACAAAAGAAGGAAGGAAGGAAGGAAGGAAGGAAGGAAGGAAGGAAGGAAAAGAAAGAAAGGGAAGGAGGTTATTTTTCAAGAAGAAGTTGCCCCACGTATTCATGAGAACTGTCTTTGCTGTCATAGTTCATATTCCCCTATCTTCCTCCCATAAATTACGGCTACTGTATTTATAAGAACTTCGAAGAATTGCAAAAGATCAGTAAGTACAAAAAAAAAAAATGAAAACACAAAGAGACAAAAAAAAAATCCAGAAAGTACGTTCCACTTTATCTCTGCTAGCAACTTAATAGCTGCCTTTCATACCCGGTACATAAGCCTTGTCCTCATTCATTTCCTTTTCTTGTCCACTGCTCAAATGAGAACTGAGAGCCCCATGCCACAGTTGCAAACCGAGGGTTTCAAACTCTTGCTCCCATGATAAAACACAAGCATCCCAGCATCCCAGCCTCCATCCTGAGATTCAGCTCAGCCGCAGCACCATTTTCCATTTCACAGTCTATGTCTTTTTTTAAAACAAAGTTCGCAGCTTTACATTCCCGCTACCATGTTAGAGATTCTCTAGTCATTAAACATTAATTCTTTGAGGTCAAATTTTGCCTCGGAGGAGGACAATACACACAGATATATAAGGTTACAGGAACCGTATCTTCTTGAGGCTGTCTGAGAGATATAAACCAGAGACTTGGCTTGTCTGAAGCTATACCTTTCAGCAGTACAAAGGAGGTAAGGACAACTGCATGAACATTATAGCCATTATTACAAACGGTTTATAAAAATGTGTAAAACTTGGCACAATGCAGAACAGAAGAGATAGTAAGATTTCAAAAGAAAAGTTTGAAGAGTGTTTAAAATCGCGGTTTTACCCGGGTAGCAAAGTACTTTCGTGAAGCATAGGGCTGGTGATACGGATTGGGGTAAAGAGTCGATTTAGTCACGCTCGGCTGTCTTGAGATCCGCCTTTGTCCTGGTTTCTTGCCCGAGTCTCCCTCGTCCATGGCCAAGTGGTCAGTCTCGGAAGGTTGGTGATCTCCCTCTTGCTTCAGGGACACTGGCTGGAATCCTTCAAAGCTCCCAATCGTTGACATTGCTTTAGCCTAAAACAAGCAAACAAAATGAAACAACCCTTTCATTGGAGGACAAAGCATGCCATCTGGATCCTGGCTATGGAAATAAAAAAAAAAAAAAAAAAAAAAGAGGTTATAACTGAAGATTTGTAGCAAAAGTTCTTCCCTCACGGGAAACAGCCATTCTTTGATCAAACAGAGGCACCAGTAGATAGGGCAGGAGCACAGACATCTAAATGCCATCTCTGTACAGGGCCTTCACCAGAGGAGAGAAGCGGGTACTCTCAGGACAGAGAAAAGGAGCCTGCGTGTCACTCTGTTCCCTTAACTTTAACACAAGAACAAGAACAGAACAGGGGAAATATACCATGAAATTACTCCGAGGTAATTCCTTTTCACGATTTTCTGACATTTTTGTCTAAAACTCTACCTGGCCTTGTTTATATTTAAGAGTGAAAAGCAATGTAGCTCTGATCAGCTCCAGGGATCGGTGTGAGGACATGTGGTGGTTTGAGGAAAAATGGCCCCTATAGGCTCATCATATATTTGAATGTTTAGTCATCACCGAGTGGTGTTACCTGAAAAGGATTAGGAGGTGTGGCCTTGTTGGAATAGGCGTGGTTTTATTGAAGGAAGTACATCACCAGGGATTGGGTTTTGAGGTTCAAAAAGTCCAATCCAGGCACGGTCTCTCTCTCTCTCTCTCTCTCTCTCTCTCTCTCTCTCTCTCTCTTTTCCTGCTGCCTATGGAACTGAGCTGCAGTGACCATGGTGTCTCTTCATTGCAACAGAACACTGGCTAAGACAGGACAACTGGGCCAGGTGGTGGTGGCACACGCCTTTAATCCCAGCACTCAGGAGGCAGAGGCAGACGGATCTCAGTGAGTTTGAGGCCAGCCTGGTCTAGAAGAGCTAGTTCCGGGACAGGAACCAAAAGCTACAGAGAAACCCTGTCTCGAAAATAAAAAAATAAAAATAAAAAAAAAAGGACAGGACAACTGGAACTGGCATATTTTCAAATCAAATGTCCCAGTTCTAAAAATTTATTTTAATGGAATAGTTTGGAAAAATCTCCAAACACACACACAAACACACACATCCAAAAATCCCATGTATTCCATGACCGTAAGTTTTCTCATCACATCGTTATTGTAGGATAAAAGGTCTGAGTTCCTGATTTGAAAACTCACCAACCCCTGGGTTTGTCCCAACCTCAGGACCTGAAATCCCACGGATTCCCACCCTGGGAAGTTTTGCCCCCAAGAAACCCTATATAAGTCTGCCTCCTGCTCAGTTCTTCTGCTCCTAACCCAAGCAGAGGTAGCCCCCTCTTACTCTTTCCCAATAAATCTCTTGTGTGAGGTTTATTGTGCAGGGTGATTTTGTGATATCCTTTGGTTCCTGGCTGCCAGGATACCTTTTCCTTCAGAGCTGTAACACTTACAATTATGGCTAGTAGAGAAATACTGTGTATGATAATAGTAACATTAAGCATTCACACAACCTTGCATTTAATACCAAATAACTAAAATAAAGCTAAGTGTTTACTAGTAAAGAATTGGCCAAATGAAACATATGCCTTAGAGTCAAACACAATGCAGCTCTTAAAATACGAAGTCTACTTTATCATAGAAAAATACCCAAAATATATTTTATAGAAAAAAAGTTATATGAATCATTATGTTCAATTGTCTTAAAATCAATCATAGAGAAGGGAAGAAACTATCACACATGTATTTGCAAGTGCATGTACATATATGGATGTAAGCACATAATATTTGAAACTGAAAAAAATAAAATGTTAAATAAAAGCTGTTCTGTTTTCATGATGATGCTGTCTGTCTGTACCTCTCATTTTCGGTCTGTTTCTGGGTACTAAGGAAATAATCATTTAACATTTAAGTAAAAACAATAAATTGATTACTATTTGTAAAGTTTTTTTTAAAAAAAAAACAGTAAAAATAGAAGGAATGTGCAGGCCCAATATGAAGTCTGCCTGATCTAATATTCTGTTTCCTAGCAGAGCAAGAAAGCCACGTAAGGACATTGCCTGTACCTAGGTACTTTGTCCAGTTGTCCAATAGGCTTTCCAGGAGGCCAGCTACTAATGTGTCTTGGAAGCAGGCCTCGTGTTTAGCTCACCATTAGGAATGACGTCTTATTCTCAGAGCTGCCTTTATGTTCTGAATCGAATAAAAGGTGACTCTAATTCCATTTCCTCGGTTTCTGTGAAATGCCAGAAGGGGGGGGGGGGGGGCTCGTTTGCCAGCATATTTTCACCCTTAAAATGGAGACAAACTAGAACATTCAAGAGATGTAAAAATAGCAGGATCCCACAGCGTCTTAGAGCCCTTTCCTCCTAATTGAAACATTGTCTGTGGGAGGGAGGAGAGAAGCTCACAGGGCTTCCAAGGCTGGGGAAGCTCAGAAAGTTAAAAAGTCACAAGGCTCCTAGCCAAGGATTTAAAAGCAGGAACAACTGCTGGGAGAGGGGACTTTCCAGCCAGCCAAGCAAGCAGCAAGTTGTGCAGCAAGCTGCGAGGGTGGAAAGTTTTCATCCTAGGGTGGGCGTTTATGATGCCACTACCTGTGAGCCAACCACGCTCCCGTGAAGTGAAACCTTGCCTATGCTACCGTAATTTCAATAAAGTCCACTAAGGTAGACGTGGTTGGAATCCTTTCTTTAGTCGGCCATTGGGGCCCTATTGGAGGTCAATACATTTGGGCCACGTCTCTCCACTTGAAGTGGCATGAGGGCGTTGTCTAACTCTAAGTACTTGGGCATAAGACGATGCTATTAGCGCTTGTGACAGGATGACAGGAGTAAACAGAGCTGTCTCTGGCAACTGTGGATGTCACTCCGAGGGGGCTGAATTCAGTAGAAAATACAGTTGGTGAAACTCCTGGATTACGGTATGCAGCTCACTTGCCATTTTCTCTCAGCTGACCCTCACAACCCTGGCCATCTTGGTTCTTCCACACCAACCCTTCTGAGGATGCAGCGTAGGGAGGCATCATCTAAGAGCGTACTTGGCAGTTCTTCTGCTGGCTTGCTTTTGAGTCCAGCCTGCCCACAATAATGCCAAGGTCCCTGCTAACGGGAAGGCCTTCCTTGAATAGCCAGGACATGTTTTAAAGGCAGGTTCCCAAAGGCTGAAATTGACCTTTATTGTGAAAATAAAAGGTATGGGGCGGGGGGGGGGGGGGGGGGGGGGACAGAGAAACAGAGAGACAGAGAGACAGGACAGGCAGAAGGAGAGTGAGAGGCACCGTGGCCTTGCTAGCAGTTCTGTGCTCTGTTTATGGCGGTTGGTCATCTCCTTCACAGTGGGTGTTGGAAGGAAATGCATTTCCAAAGTTCCCATGAAGGAAGGTTTGTGTCACTGGGAAGGGAAGCCTGCTTCTGTATTTGTGCACTCTGTGAACGCGCGCCTAACAACAGACATCTGCTGGAGGCTCGCGTGCCTGGAAAACAGAGGGAGGATTTAATTAGCACCACTTCCTCTCCCTCAGGCTGTCTTCTCTGGAAACACTTGGGGAAGGCAGTGCTCAGAGTTGGAACTGTCTGAGATCCAGGAACTGAGGAATCTCTCAGCTCCATTTGCATTCTTAAAGCCATAAACCTTGGAATGTGGAGCTAGGCTTCCTGCTGGGAATTGGAAGGCTCAGCAACCACCCTGAGGACGTCTCCAAGGACCGGACTGAAATTCTTTGGCAACTCCTCCACTCCAGCTAGAGGGGGCCAGGTACTGATCTAAACATCCCCATCCCATTTGGTTCCTGAGCCCTGAGCCCCGAGAACTGCCAAGTCAATAGAGAGTGCCCTCTCCTCTCTGCTTAGAAACGTTGTATATACTGAAACACTAAAAGGACCTAAATCAATACCAATAACAAATACAGCCTCCATCAAATGACTCATTGCTTCTGCAGTTCAAATTTTGCCTGGTGACAGACCTATTGAGAGCCACTTAGAACAGGAGAGGATCATAGTTCCATGATCCTAATAAATTTATCTCAGCCTTTAGTTCTTGAGTTGAAGCCGCACAATACTGTAGGGAGCTAAACACTCGGGGCTTGGAAAAACCATGTGGCCACTGTTGGCCAAATCTTTTTATTCTGGAGAACTTATGTAGTGGAGATCACCTAAGAACGAAAGGTTTATAATATTGCTTGCTAATTCTGGGTGGAACTGACTGAACATGAACATCTAATAGGCAAAGACTCCTATGTACATCCAACGGATATTGGGCAGACGTTAAAAATATCATCCAAAAAGCTGGAGCAGCAACATGAGAATAGAGAACACAAGCTTATATAGAGAACACAAGCTTATGAGTTAAAAAAAAAAACAGAAAAAAAAACAAATAAAACCAAAAAATGCAATGCAGCAATCGGCATTTGAATGAGGATGATTCCAATTCCCTGAAGTAGCGAGAGTAGGAGGGAATTTCTCCTTTGCTAAAAAGTCAGTAAAATAACCTTAACCACTGCTTCTGCAACTAGATGAATACATATAGGAAGACATACTAAACAATTTCCAAAAAAGTTCCTTTCTTTTGGTTGAATAATAAAAGTTCTAAAACTCTCAGTTGTTATAAAAATCGGAGCTAATTTCACATATATATGTGTGTGCATGTATGTATAAATATATATAATATGTAGATAAGTTACTCCCAAATCTTTCTCTAAGTATAACTGTATCTATACAAGACTTCAATTATCTCTCTAAAGCTTTATCTAGTATTTCAGGATTGTGTAGGGCATAAATTATGAGTAGAGGATTACCATCTAATCCTACTCCTTCATTTTGTAAACACTGGCATAGAACTGCTGAGATAAGAGACCTGATCAAGGTCATGCAGCTTCTGGAATCAGAACAGGAAGTCAAAGTCCTCACCTTCCATGACCTTCATCTTCCCCAGCCTTGGTCTTCCAGGGCCCTCATCTTCCCCTCTCTTCCATGGCCCTCACCTTCTATGACTCTTATCTTCCATAGCCCACATCTTCCCCAGACCTCACCT